TAAGTCCAACAACAACAAAAGGGAAATAAAACATCCATAATCCAACCTCAAGCTCATTTCTAAATTTACAAAGTGTTATGATCTATTTCTCTTTTCAAAAATCAATTCTCTCATTTTCCAAATTACCATACTCCAATCTTTCTTCAAGATCCATTCTCTTCATTTCACAAAACTAAATCCATGGATATCAAAGCCATAATCTAACTCAACTTAACATGATTAATCCAAAATAATTCCAATACCATGGTTAATTCTCCCTTTTAGTTATTAACACAATTACACAATCCATATTAACAAAACACAAACATTATTCAACCTTACCCCTTTTTAGTTCAATAAATCAAAATATTAAATTAGGGCTTTTGAAAGTTTTTTGGAATAAACTCAACAGCATAAGAATCATCTACATTCCAAAATAAACAACACAACCTTCATCCACTGGCATCCAAACATATATCTCATCTAAGCACTTAGCCTTATGATATAGCAACAAATATGACGAAAGGCATGCACATGCAACATGTTAAAGCCTAAAAAAAATCTCACTTAGTACTCCAAGGTGAGCCTCACGAAAATGCTGACATATATACATATATGCATGATCATATATATAACTGACTAATGCAATACATACACGACATGCACCTAAAAGTCTGGATGCTAGGCTATGACATAGATATCATCGCAAGACGTGGAATAACGCATGTATTCATCTTTGAAAATAATAAGTTCCACAAAATGCGAATGATCTAGACTCGGATACATGAAAAATTGATGCAACATACTGAAAGCACGTAAAAAAAAGGGTAAAAAAAGCGTGGAGTTGGAAGTTATTACAACAATTTGAATGAAAAGGGAGAAATGGAGAGAAATTATTACAACATTGAATAGATTCAACCAGACTACTGCTGAATCTAACAAATCAAGCTACACAAAGCATACAGAAATTCCAAAACCATCTAGGAGAGCACTCCCCAAAAACTATTTACTTTATTCTTGAGGGGATATGTCCAGTCAAACACAAGAAGAGGCAGCCAAACTAAGAACCGACCGGCTGAGTTATTCCTTCGGTTGAGATTTAGGTTAGTGCAGAACTCCATGACAAAACGCAAAAGGGCACTTTTTGGGGGATGCTCATCCCTTCTACCTCCTCTACTGACAGGGACCACTTGGGGGATGAGTGGATAGGTCACAATCCTCAACAATGATATAAACAGATATATACAATAGATATTTCACAATAAATCAATGATTAAATGAATCAAAATCAAGAATAAACTCAAGCCCAAGAAATGGATGGGAACTTGCATCTTCTCTTTGTGAATAAGAGCAAATTAATACCCAAATCCATGCTTTTAAGTAGAGAGAGTAGATTAATGAAAATCATTTCTTGGCAGAAGTTTGCTTATTAATACAAGGGACTCCTTAAATTTGTTGAAAACTCCTCATCTAGTCATAGAACAAGGATGGTTACACCCCTTTCTATGTTCCCAAATGATTGAGATAGGAGATTTCAATGTCGTTTGACTCAAAATCTCTTGTTTTACTTACAAAAAACACCCAAAAGGAAGATAACATAACTCTCTCGGCATCAAATCCCAAGAATCACTCAAGCAACCTTATGAAACAACCCTTTTATTCATTGTCTTTGAGCATAGGTTGGAACACATAAGTTGAAGACACTTAAGAGATAAGATATGAGAAGAGGCGGAATGTAGTAACAAGAAAGAAAACTACTTTACTTATTGAACTTGTGCATGGATGGCTAAAACTACTCCCAATCACATCCACAAGGGTCCAAAGTGCATAACAACTAGATATTAGAGTTAAGGCTATCAACTCAATGGATGGGTGGTTAAAGCTACTCCATCCACATCCATGAGGACTAGTACAACTTTACAACAATTACATAATGAAAACAAAACTTAAAATGAAGAAATGAAAAGAGAAAAGTGATTAAAGGTGCAAGAATTTCTCCTCCTAAGAGGATGTATCACTTTGATTCACAAACTCCCTTTTAACTCCATCAATCCACTTTAGATGTATTTTTTAATGTCCAAAGGTCTTAGCAAGGTGCTTAGGATCAAACTTCAATGGAGCTTGGAGGTCCAAGGTTAGAGGGTGGTAGGTAGGATATGGGAGAAGGGTCAAGAGGCTCTTAGAAGCTTTGGGCAAAATTTTCAACCCTTTGAAATGAGCTGCCGAGCCCTATATGTGAGCTCAAGGTGTAAATATTTGAGATATTTGTGGTAGGTAGGCAAAACAAGCTGAAATTTCTCAAAATGTTTTGTACTCGGAACATTCGACTGGCTGTTCTTATTGGTGATCAGCCGAGTGCTTTTGTAGCCGGCCACCATGTGGTGTTCGGCCAGTTAGTAGGCACATCTTCATATCAACAAGAGAAGGTTAGCCTTATTTGAAAGGAGAAATAGGTATTTCAGAATATTTAGGCCTATATTCTTTGCTCAGTTTGTTTAAAAGATTACAAGGCTTTGACTTTGAAACTATGAGCCTCAGAACATTGTGGTAGTGTCTGAAACTGCACCAATAAACTCGTTTTTTGAAAGAAGGTTTCCATTTTGGTCGAAAAATATTTTTTCCAAAACAGGCCTTTGGATGGTTTAAAACTTGATCCTTAGGCTTCTCGCCGTAGAACATGTAAGATTGACACATTTCTTCTTCATCATTGGGAGCTTAAAAAGGAGCTCCTAATTCTTAAGGTTAGTCAAAAATGTGGTGTCTACAACTAATGTCAAAGGTGAAAAGACTCATGGCAGTGAAACGACATGTGATGGGCCAGTGATAGAGTGCCATGTCGCAGGGGTAGTTGGGATGTCAGACCTAGGGTTTGGTAGATTGAAGCGCTTGGGTTCCTTTGATTCGGAAGCCAACGAGTCATGATCTCGATTGGCAGAGTAACATCCAGCATGTTGTTAAGCTGACATATTGGAAGTTTAAACATTATAGGTTCCATCACCTCAGTATGCTGAGGTAATAGAACCTAGGGAGCAGTTGTAGGGACATAATTTTGAGTTGTTCACATGGCCTAGGTGATTAGCTGAGGTGCCACATGGGCGGTCCTGACTAGCTAAGGTGTGGTCAGACCGCACTTGAATCGTAGATGATAGGATGATGACTAAGAGTCCTAGATGATGATAGACTCTTTGTTAGGATAGGTTGGGACTCTTGATAGAGTTAATCGTATTATGAATTAGAGAAGTCCTAGATAAGTGATATCCTTGAATGGGGTGAGAGTCCTACGAAGTAAGAATTGTAAGGGAAGAGGGCACAGTTGACTATATAAAGTAGGCACTCTCATGGGTCTAAGATATGCTTAAGAGTTTTTGTATTTGAGTTGATTATCTTCGAGAGATTTGTTACTAACTTGATCGTTACAGTGCCCCCACGTGGATCAACTACTGATTTTGGTATTGATCTTTGTATGTGCAAGTGTTGGATTCGTCTAGTGCTCTTGCTCTTTGGCTTAGTTCTCAAAATCTCGAGAAAGAGATCCGATCTAATTGTAAGGTCATATTTCAACACCCATAGCTAGACATATATATTTTGTTACGAAGATCACTAAGAACAATGATAATAATAGAATGGCGTCTATGGTGCTAGTACAAGAAGTAAACAAGGAAGAAGATTTTGATGAAAACAACAAACAAAACATGGTTACTTTGGATGACCACAAAGGTAAAAATAAAAAACTAATCTCTATTTTCTCCCTTATCACAAACATGTCATGCAATAGTAGTTTATATTAAGAATTTTTATATTTAAAAGAAAAAATTATGCCTAACATGCAATTTTTCAACTCTCACAAAGGTAACAATAACTTTAACTTGTATTTTCACCTCTCAAAAACAATTTACGTGCAGCACACGTGTACTATTACTAGTTCAATAAAAAAGAAAACGGCAAATTATCAATACTCTTTTAAAATTCGCTTAAAATACAAATTATCTTTATCATTTAAAAAATTACATAGAAAAATTTACACATTCCATGTGAGTTTGTCTATTAACAAGCCTAACAAAAATAATAAAATTACTTTATTACCCTCTCATACCAAGTGAAAAATATCAAATTGATCTCATCTCTTTACTCCATCTCCAAACCTAGTTGGCTTTTGCAGCCACCACACCCCACAACTCCACCCTCAGCCACCAATCCCTATCACTACCACCACTTAACCCTCTCTTGACCCCCCCAACAACTGGCATACCTCCACCCTCTCTTCGCCCTTCCACACCCTCAACAACCTATCCAACCATTCCCACCCTCCTTTTGCCCTTCCCTCTTCCTCCCCTCACAACTCCTCACTCCTCTCCCACCCTCAATAACCTACCCTATCTACTATGGGGTGCTGTCAATGTTGATGGTGTTGATAATAGGCTTCAATCATCAATGATGGAAAAATGAAATTGCAACCATTGATGATGAGTTGCGATTGGCGTTGACAAGTCATAGCTCATAGTGACTTCATGATAGATTTTCAGATCTGGACACCATTAATTCCTTATCCACCTTAGATGTTGTCAAATTCTATGTATCCTTACTCATGGTGAAGAGTGAATCAACAGCAAAATCCGACCCCAACAACTCAACTCTGTCTTACTCACTCTTCCTATTTTGTTATCTATTGTGGAAAATTGTAGATGGGTATGGCAAATTTGGTGGTGATTGAATTTAGTGGCTGTGGTTGATAGAATTTGAAATTTGGTGTGCAATTGATAGTGTTGATGGGTTGTTCAATGGAGGTGGGTTATGGTTAGAACAGGAGTGTAGGTTGACTGGGTAGTAATTTGTCCAAAAGCCAAAGTTTAAACTCAACTCATTTCTATCCCAGTTATCTGGTTCACCTATATGAAATTGTATTCTCAATTAAGTATAAGATTTTTTTATATTAGGAAAACTACATCAAGATTACATTAAACTAAGAAGATTTAACACATACCGACCAGCATACAAAAAACTCAACTATCACAAGAAATACCTTTTAGCTCATCTATGATTCAAATGTCCATTTTATCTCAAATAATTTTTCATCTAATTTTTATCTTTTCTATTAACACCACTCATCCATCTCACTACTCTTGTTTTACTTACAAGCATTGTTTGACAATTATTATTATTATTATTTTAACTATCAAACATTTGTACCATACATCCTATCACACAACTCTCCTCCATTTCATCCATCTCACTCTAATTTTATGTGCCACAACCTTTTTCATTCTTTCCATCTTTATGAATAATTGATCTGAGATATCGAAAATGGTCACTCATTTCTCTTACCCAGCAAATTTTATATTTTTTCATCGAGCACTCTATATATTCCGTTTAGTCTTACTTAACCTAAAACCTTTTGTGTGCAGCTATTGCTTCTATACAGGATGATGTTGCTTGTCTACTCTTGCTGTCATTTCTTCTAGTTGCCCGATTGATTTGCTATGATGAGTAGACTCTGTCCAATCTCCCCGTGCCTCTCACGTTATTCAGCAGTGAAGGATTTGGACCTACGATATCAAAAAAATTATAGTGAGAATGCCACAAGAAAACATTCAAATTGCAGCAATCGGACAGTTCTGGGGTGATGAAAGAAACACCCCCACGAAATGGCATGCTTGCCTATACCCTTTTCCCCTTGAAAAGGAAGCTTTTATATTTCCATTATCTAAAAATTCAATAAATATATTAACCAAGTGAAAATGAATCCACATTGCATTTCAAAGACAAGGAACTTGGGAATTTTTCCAAACCTGAGCTATTACAAAGTTTCTTTTTCCAAACGCCAGTGTTTTTGAACTTATTTCCCAAACCCATGTTATTTTTTGAAGCCATGTTTTGAAAACATCACTTCTAAAAGTTTTACAATAAAAAATATATATAATTAAAAATATATATTTTTTATAATTTTAATAATGTAATATGCATGAAAATAAAACCTAAATCAAATTAATAAATAAAGGGATTCCTATTAAATAAAGAAATACTAACATTAAAGTTCCTAAAATTAAAAATTTGGTAAAGAAATACTTACATTAAAACAGTGTAGGGGGAAAAGAAAAAAAAAATGGAAAATAAATAAATAAAGTAGCCTAAAAAAAAAAGAAAAAGATGAGAGTATTGAAAAAATATAAATATAAAATAATAAAAAAATTGGAAAAAAAATTATATAATTATTGGGCGTATTAAAATATAAAAAAAAATTGGATACTTATTTGGCGTATCCCTCACATATCTTGCCGTATCCCTCAAGTATCCTTCACGTATTCCTCCCATATCTAAAATTACAAAAAAAATCAATAAATAAATAAATAAAAATATCAAATACTTATTTGCCGAATTCAATATGTATCTCGCTATATCAGACGCGCATCCGTATCCGATACTCGTATGGCACCTTTCTTAGAGTATCCGTGCTTCATAGATTGCCACCCAATGATGGCCCAATTTTCAATAAAATTTTGAAAATAGTTTTTAGTGATGGGACTGGATCAAGAAAACCCTTAGAATCCCAACCCAGGACAACAATGATTCACACTGCGACTTGTCCAAAACTATGAGTTTTGACCGTCACAATTGGAAGAATACAAACCAAAGTGAGATTTAACGTAAAGTGACAAGGTGCAAAATGTATTTATTCCTTTATATTTAGCTTCCATTTTCTTGAAACTTGTGCCAACACTCTACGTCCCATGTGTGTCTAGGCAATAATCACATTTGTCCTATGTGTTCAAACTACAAATTATTTTCTATTTAAAAATATACAAAGAAAAATAATAGAACATGTTTGGACATGAGTCCGACATGCGTTGGCCCATGTTTGCCGAAAACTAATGTTGAAAATACAACTTTTAGTGCAACTTGAACTTGAATCCAAGAAGGCCCATATTGAACTAGAACCAATTTCCTATAATTTGGTTCTTTCAAATTAAAATTCTTCTTCTTGAGCCTCTTATGGATTGCCTTAGGTAGGAAACTTCAAAATCCAAGTATGACCGAAAAGTTGACATCTCGACTCAATTTAACCCAACAAGTCCAAAACCCAATTACTTGGGTCCACTACATGGATCCATTTTTGTCCAACTTGCTCTATTAATTTTTTTCTTTTTGATAAATAAGGAGTAAATTTATTAGAAAAGGGCATCAAGACAATGCATAGCAAACAAATACAATCAGCAAAACCCACACCTACATCTAGACGTGCAAAAAATCAATGAAATCCACAAAGGAAAACAAATCCGGATTCACACTACCCGACACCCAACTATGCATAATCAGCAAAAAATTTATTCTGCAAAAGAGGCACCAAAACTTGTACCCCTTGAACAATTTGCCAATTACGCTCCAACCAAACCATCCACATCAAACACAGTGGCGCAAGATCCCAAGCGTTTCGACACCTCTTCCCCACCCGACCCCACCCTCCAACTACACAAAACTGCCACCACACACCCCGGCTGCATCCAATCCAACCAAAACACCGCGAAAATCAATCCCCAAAGATGAGATGCCACAGAGCAATGCAACAAAAGATGGACCTGCTCTATTAATTATCTAAGGCCATCATATGCTTTTCAGTTTTCACTGCCTCAACCTATATCCTTTCCAACCTATGCTTCAGTCTTTTCACATCCTCAGCTCCGATAAAATCACTATTAAAACTTGACATAGAATACCTAATCCCTTTGACAAAATAATAGCAAGTACACCATCCATTAGAAATCCTTCCATCTCATTTGTGACTGCGAGTTGAATAGCTAGGAAATCAATTGAGTTCCATGAAAAAGCCACAAAATTCTTGTACAAGGCAGGTAATCCTAATTTCCACTCGAACTGAAAGAAGATTTTTTTAGATGTGCAACAACAACAATATCAGTATAATGCTGGAAAACAATAAAATCATAAAACGAGAAATAAACATCCAAGCAACGTGTAAAATAGATAAATGGGAAGAGAAGCATATAAAACTAATGTTAGAAGGAACCATATCTGTTGAAAACTAGAATTGAGCACTTGTGAAATTAATTAAAAATCAATGGAAATGAATTCAAAGTTTTACCAACCTAAGTTGAATCCTATATAGAATACCAAAGAAGCAAGAGGAACAAATATTACTTTAAACATAGAAGCTAATTAGCATAACTACATTTTCCAAGCAAGCTTAGTGGAATATAATTTATCAAAGTAAATCTACAGCATTGTATCTATTATTTATTGAACAAATAACAAAACTAACCTTGTTATACTCAATTAAGGAATGGTGGAAACAATTCAGATCAAACAGCATAAAAAACCTGCATCATCCCTAAACCAACAGAATAAGTTTGCATGCAATAAACTAGATGCAATACTAATATCATAAAAGAATAAGGAGTCAAAAAGGACATACCAGATCACATATATTGAGAACAAAGGATGGAATCTATATTCTTCAAGCCAAGAATCCCACTAGACAAATCTCCTTCACTTTGGTATTGTTTGATGGGAACAAAAGACTACTGAGAATTAAATGCCCAATTCCATGCATGTGATATTTATCATCAGTTGAGTATTTGATAGGCATGCCTAGAGAATTTCAACAGATTCATCCATCCCGGCGGCACATGGGAACATACAAGCACAATAATGAAATAGTAGTGTGTATGTATGATCTACCTTCCCTCGAATGTATCTTCAATAGGGAGCCAACAGATATCCTGCTCAAGTGAAAAATTTCTAAGTTTCAAACTATAAAGAGCGATAAAATTAGACCAGAAAAAAAAAAAAATTAAAAATAAAATAAAATAATAATAAAAAATCATACTAGACGGTGAATCAGGCAACATAAAAAATTGCATCAAATTAAATTGGCAGCAGAACCACCGTTTAAATGACAGCTTCTGATGCACAATGCAAATGACAAATTCTAAAAAGAAAATAATACAAAGCGCACATGTAAAATATACACTTTCTACAGCAAAAGTTCTTATCTAAAACCATTATCAGTATAAGGTGAGCTCGAAACACTCCACTTGAATATGACAAGTACATTAGAGTATAGAAGAACATCTTCAATATATGCACTGGCAGACTATGGTAAGCCCTACTTCTGAAAGCAAACTGAAACCAGCACACACCTAGACCTGAAGTAAGAGTTCCAACTATGTTACACAGAATTGAGTGCAGGTGTCGGATACGGGTATGTGTCAAATTCGCCTATTCCTAAAAAGTGACGGTACGGGGACTCAGCTAAAAGGCGTCCAAAAAATAGATACGGATAAGGGGACACAGCACATGAAATATTAATAGGATATTCTATGTTGTACTAACTACATAATGTATGCATCATGATCAATACCCAGATAGTTAAAGTCTTAACGAAAATACATAACTACAAAAGAAGAAAAAAAAGTATTTTATTATGAAATGAATGCAGGGCCTAGGCACATACCTGGTTGATTAGTGCTTAGAACCTCCCACAATTCACATGTTCACTATTTTAGCTGCATAATTCCTTATCACCATCAATTTAGGCACAAAATAAATAAGTCACTGTGTATAAAATATAAATTAATCAACAGACAAGAAAACGATATGGATGCTTACTTACTTAATCAAGTTTAAAATGTCTATGACTTTGACTACACCTATAATATTCCATATCATCATAATTGTAGCATATTATAAATTGTGAATGATGTCACAAAGATAAACATTATTATAAAAACTAGCTTCAAGTTGAGGTGATCAAATTTAGATATACAAAATGATACTAAAGTTTTGTATGTCAACTATTCACACAAGTTGACTGATCATCTCAACTGCAAAATGACAAAATAGACTATATATTTTATATAAACATCAATATATCAAAAGCCAAAAGATCAATTCAATCACAATGTAGCTAGTGCAAGTTAACCATCTAAGTCTTTGATTTCATGACCAACATCAGGCTGAACCTCCATCGCAACTTGTGTGTGTTAATCTGATTCATCATTAACTCATGTTCATTGATGGAAAGTTCTGCAAGCTCAATTGGAGATCCATCAAAGTCAAACCTATCTTCACCTACAACCATGCAAAAGTCAATCACTTACCCAGGGGGAAAAAAATTGTTTAATTATTAGAAGAAAACAAAATTAATAAATTAGAAAACTTACATAAATCCCAATATTTTGATGTAAGTCCTAATATTTTGAAGGCCCTTCCTTGTACTCTTTTTTCTTTCTTGATAAGAGCCTAATGTTGAAATGTACAAAGACTAGATCATTAGCTCTGCAACTTGCCAACCTATTTCTTTTCTTTTTATGAATATGACCATATGTGCTCCAATTTCTCTCACAACATGATCAAGATGCTGGTTGTGAACACAATTTAAATGCAAACCCTTGCAACAATGATGTTGAAGCACCATGATTAGCCCACCAAGAAATTGGCTCCTCGTAAATTCTTGCTTCAATAACATGTGGCTTATTGAAATAGTTAGATCCACTTGAAAAAGCTCCATATTCAACATAAACATTTTGGAGATGACTTGTATTTTTTTGAAACAGCGGTTCAAAACACTTGCTTTGGTGAGTAGATACTTCATGCGGTGCGAATCGCCAAATTCCATCACTTCCACCTTGAAGCCAAGACTCGTGATAATATTTAGGACCAAGGAATGAGCTATGCAATGCAAAGGTGTGTTGCTTTTGGTCCATCTAGCTTCTAAAATTTCATTAATGGTGTCAAGGAAATCTGATTGTCCTATTAAGCATAATAAATTTTTTGAATGGTGTATAATAAGTTCTTTCAATGGTGTGTTGCTTTTTATTGTTCTGATTGTCCTATTTCAAATTCATGAATGGTGTCAAAGAATTTATTTTGCTTAATAGGACAATCAGATTTCCTTGACACCATTCATGAAATTCTAGAAGCTAGATGGACCAAAAGCAACACACCTCTGCATTGCATAGCTCATTCGTTGGTCCCTAAATATTATCATGAGTCTTGGCTTCAAGGTGGAAGTGATGGAATTCGGCGATTTGCACCACATGAAGTATCTACTAACCGAAGTAAGTGCTTTGAACAGCTGTTTCAAAAAAATACAAATCATCTCCGAAATGTTTATGTTGAATATGGAGCTTTTTCAAGTGGATTTGACTATTTCAATAAGCCACATGTTATTGAAGCAAGAATTTACAAGGAGCCAATTTCTTGGTGGGCTAATCATGGTGCTTCAACACCATTGTTGCAAGGGTTAGCATTTAAGTTGTGTTCACAACCAGCATCCTCATCATGTTGTGAGAGAAATTGAAGCACACATGGTCATATTCATAAAATGAAAAGAAATAGGTTGGCAAGTAGCAGAGCTAAAGACCTAGTCTTCGACAATTGCAACATTATGCGGTTATCAAGAAAGAAAAAAGAGTACATGGAAGGGCCTTCAAAATATTAGGATTTATGTAAGTTTTCTAATTCTTTAATTTTGTTTTCTTCTAATAATTAAACACTTTTTCCTAGGTTAGTGATTGACTTTTGCATGGTTGTAGGTGAAGATAGGTTTGACATTGATGGATCTCCAATTAAGCTCGCAAAACTTTCCATCAATGAACCTGAGTTAGAGCTTGTGACTTTTGATGATGAATCAGATTAACTAACACAAGCTGCAATGGAGGTTCAGCCTGATATTGATCATGAAATCAAAGACTTAGATGGTTAACTTGGACTAGCTATCTTTTGGCTTTTAATATATCGATGTTTATATAAAATATATAATTTGTTTTGTCATTTTGTGGTGGAGATGATCAGTCAACTTGTACGAATAGTTGACATACAAAACTTTAGTATCACTTTGTAAATGTAAATTTGATCATCTCAACTTGCAGGTAATTTTTATAGTAATGTTTATATTTGTGGCATCATTCACAATTTATAATATGCTACAATTATGATGATATAGAATATTATAGGTGTGATCAAAGTCATAGACATTTTAAACTTGATTAAGTAAGCATCCATATCCTTTTCTTGTCTGTTGCTTAATTTATAGTTTATACAGTGATTTATTTATTTTGTGCCTAAATTGATGGTGATAAGGAATTATGCAACTAAAATAGTGAACATGTGAATTGTGGGAGGTTCCAAGCACTAATCAATCAGGTATATGACTAGACCCTACATTCATTTCATAATAAACTACTTTTTTCTTTTTTTGTAGTTACGTATTTTTGTTAGACTTTAACTACCTGGGTATCGATCATGATGCATACATTATGTAGTTGGTACAACATCGAATATCCTATTAATATTTCATGTGTTGTGTCCCCACATCCATATCTATTTTTTGGACACTTTTTAGCCAAGTCCTCATACCCTCACTTTTTAGGAATATGCAAATTTGACACTTAGACACGTACCCATATCTGACACCCGCACCCAAGTCCATGTAACATAGGATGTCATAATGGTGTAGCTGGTGTTATATTGGTTTAAGATTAGAGATCCAAAGTATACAACCAAAGATCTTAGTTGTGGATGGTGAACCATGGTCATATACCTTTTAGCTCATTAAGCTCAACTACTGATGCAGAGCAGGTTGTTGAAGAGGACTATCACAAGTCAAATAAGAAGTAATTAAGAGTCCAAGAAGTAATTAATTAGAGTATCCTTCAAAGTTCCAAGTTTAGTAATTTGTATTTAACACAAGTGGTATCAGAACAAGGTCCTCCCTTGTCTCAATGCCCAATGATGGTGAGAATGCACCAAAACCTAGCAATGAAAATGATGGGGTTGAAGCTGTGTGGGGTGCAATCGACAGGCAACAATTACAGTTGAACCAGATTCTTGGTCTTCTGAATGGATTGAATCTCAATGCCGAGAGAGCAACAAAAGAGGATCCTATTGCACCTCGTGGCCAACAAGCTCGTGAGTCAAGGGTGGGCAACAATCCAAGATGCTTAGGAGCTCCTCCTAGGCGTGTTGAACAACCCAATTTACGATGGTGATTCAACAGATGATGATCTTGAGCATATCACAATGTACGAGGATCCCAGAGAAGCTGTCTAGTATAACAGCAGTAACTATCGCATAAGGATGGACCTCCCTTCCTTCAATGGATAGTTAAACATTGAAGATTTCATGGATTGATTGAATGAAGTTGAATGGTTCATCGATTATCGAAGAAGAGAAGAAGGTGAAACTTGCCGCGTACAAACTGAAAAGTGGTGCTTCTGCGTGGAGCAATTGCAATTGTCCAAGATGTGGTAAGGCAAGAATAAGATTCGAGCTTGTCACCGAATGAAAACAATTGATGAGAGCGCGTTTTCCTCCTCCAGATTATGATCAAGTTCTGTTCCATCAGTACCAGTGGTGTCAATAAGGTACCAGCTCAGTCCATGAATATTCTGCCAAATTCCAGCGACTTTCCTCCATTAATGACTTAGTAGAAATGGAAGGACAATTGGTCGCGCGATTCGTGGATGGATTGCATATGAATCTACAGGATGTGGTTAACATGCAACCGGTTCATACATTGCTGGATGCCATTCAGTTGGCAACAAGGGTCGAGTAGCAATTGGCCAGAAGAGAGGGCTTTCCAAAATCAGCCCTCTACCAGGACAGTCATCCCTTCACCAGCACAAAATCAGTTTGAGTAGGGTAAGGTAAAGGCAGTCACTGAAGCGGGTAAGAGTCAAGCTTCTCAAAATCAAAACAAGGCCCCATGGAAAGGTCAGACAAATGCAAAGATGATTGCAAGTAGTTCAAGAAATTAGAGTGACCCTTACGCTCCATCCCGAAGTGATAAGTGTTACCGTTGCAGAGAAGTTGGGCACTATTCTAATCGTTGTCCGCACTGCCAACGTAGTTGAGCATGAGGAAGAAAAAGGCGGACAAGAGCAGGACAATTTCAAAGAAGAAGGTCCAGCGGAGTGGACCCATGAAGAGAAGGGTGTATCACTAGTTGTGCAGCATTTGATGTACACACCGCGGAAAGAGGATATTCGGAGGCACAATATCTTTAAAACTTGTACGGTCAACCAGCAAGTCTGTGATTTGATCATTGATGGAGGCAACAACGAAAATATCGTGTCAAGGACTATGGTCGACAAGTTGAAGCATCCGACAAAGAAACATCCGTCCCCCTATAGTATTGGCTTGATCAAAGATGTCAGTGAAACAAAGGTAACAGAATAATGTGTTATTCCTTTCTCTATTGGTCCAAATTATAGAGATGAGGTTTTGTGCGATGTGGTTGACATGGATGCGTGTCATATATTGTTGGGAAGGCCGTGGCAGTTTGATTTGAACACCGTGCATAGGGGGAAAGAGAATACCTACACCTTTTACAAGGATAAAGTAAAAGTCGTCTTCGCTCCTATGGGGCGTGCAAGTCAAGTAACAGCCTCCCCAACCAAAGCAAATTCTTTCCTCATAGTACCAGATTTTACAAAAGAAGCTAAGGAGACACAGCTGGTTTACGCTTTAGTGGTCAAGGGTGAAGAACAAGAAAAAGTTATCGTTGCAATACTAGAACGAGTTAAGCCGTTAATTACCAAATTTCAGGGACTTGTGCCAGACAAGTTGCTAGCAAAGTTACCTGCTATGCGGAACATTCAGCATGAGATTGATTTCGTTCCTAGAGCTAAGGGTGTGCAAATACCCAAATAACCAGCGGACCCAGCCCAACCCGTCCAACCGGTCTATGGTACAGGTGTTTCGAACAATATTACAGTCGGCTGCGGGTGTAAATCATCAATTTTCTGTGATTTTCAGTCGGATATCGAATTTAATTTGAAAAAAATCACCCAACTCGACCCGACCGCATATATATATTAATTGTTGCCTAAGACTGACGTGCCTAGAAAAATTAAACAAGCAGAGAGCTATTATTTCTATCTGTTAAGTCTTGCCAAGATTTTTTTTTGATCTTTTCAATACAAAACTTACACTTTTCCCAATAGAGATTTGACTTCTCATCTACTCCATTGTCTCCACAACTTCATCTTCAAATCTCATGTCTTCGTCACATCTCTCTTTCCCTCAGACCCTTCATCTCCCTCTCTCTGTCTCTCTCAACCATTTCATCCCTCTTCAAATAATAAAAAAAATCCATCTCTCTCTTCATTTAGGAAACAAACCTATCTCTCTCTGTCAACCATTTCGCCTGCCTCTCTAACCCACCTCCCCCTTCTCTATCTCTTAATTTGGGAGACAAACCCATCCCTCTCTCTCTCTCTCTCTCTCTCTCTTCATTTGGGAGACAAACCCATCTCATTCTCTCCCTCATCTCTGTTTCACTTTTTTTTTTCCCTCCCTTCTCTCATGGCACTGGTCGACAAGGTAAACAACAACGGTGATAGTTGCGACTGCAATGAGTAGCATTGATGTCGTTTGAGTGGTGATGGACAAATCAAGCAATGGCATGGACATGGTAAACCAAGTTATTCTATTCGGTCGATTTCGATCAAAAGTTTGGTCGATACTGGGTGGCTGATGCTCTGACCTGAAGTTGTTGGTTCGACTGACTAGCCAATGATAAACCCAAGCCAAACCGACCCATGCACACCCCTACCTGGAGCAACTTTACCAAACCTGCCACATTACAGAATGAGTACGAAAGAGTTTCAGATTTTGCAGGACGAGGTTAATAATTTGCTACAGAAAGGTCTGATCACAGAGAGTATGAGTCCGTGTGCAGTGCGAGCCTTGCTAACTCCCAAGAAAGATGGGAGTTGGAGGATGTGCATTGACAGTGGAGCCATCAACAAGATCACGGTGAAGTACAAGTTTCCTCCACCAAGGTTAGATGATATGCTAGATAAATTGAGTGGATCAAAAGTGTTTTCAAAGATCGATTTGAAAAGTGGTTACCATCAGATTCGTATCCGCCCCACTGATGAGTGGAAAAGCCTAAAGGTTAGGTTCTTTGTATTTGACATGAGTCTAAGGGAGGGTTTCTAGTATTTATTAAGTCTAAAGATTAGGTTCTTTGTATTTGACACAAGCGTCTAAGGGAGGGCTTCTAGTATTTTTAAGTCTAAAGATTAGGTTCTTTGTATTTGACACAAGCGTCTAAGGGAGGGTTTCTAGTATTTATTTCTATGTTGGGAAGATCAAAGGTTGGGTCTCTATTATCTAGTATAAATATGTTTGTAAGCCTTGTGGGAAATCAGTTTTAATCAATATAGTTGAGTTTTCTCTATGTTCCTTGTACACAAGGTTGTTTATCTTTGCTCGTGGATTTGAGTTGTTACCGCCCGAAGAACGATATCTTCCCCTTCGTCTACTAGAACGATAGCTAGTCATTCCTTCCGCTACACTGCTGTGTCAACTACAAAAGCCCTATTTCTCAATTTGTGCACAGCGACATTTGCTTCAAAAATCTTAAGCCCATGTCCTTCTTACTACTCCAACTATTTTTATTGTCCCTTCATTCTTGAGCCACATTCATCCTACATCATGTTGATTCTTTTGTAGGGCAACAACTGGTCATCATTGCAAATGGCTCACCAGACCATCTTTATTAATTCTCTCAATTTTGTTACCTCAATCAGTGTCACATCAGATTTATAAACGTATAATTTTCAGATTAAGCTATTCTCAGAATTCTACCAATCTACTTGCATCTTTCAATGCCTTGTGGCCTTTTAAATTGAATATTTAAATTTAAACTATGCTCCCTTTATGAAATGCTCTTCTTTTTTTTTCTTCAGCATGAACTCTTGGATTCCTAATTACATATCTAGCTATACTTGTCAATAGGCATGCTAAGCCTGAGCCTAGGCTTCTTTACCATTTATTAATTTTCTATAGTTTCATTTCCTGAGGATCATAGACTTAATTTCCCATGTAAATAGGATCATCATGAGAAGGTTAGCCTTATCCACTTCTAAGATTGCAGCCTAAATTCTAAGCATGTAAAATAGTTAAACCTAGGTCACTCTTAAGCTAGCGTTTCAAGCACTTGTGCGGATCAGGATACCAGAAAACCTTAATTTTAGATGCATAAAAAAGTTAAAACTGATAACCATAGAAAAGAGGCAACGCACCTATGTTCAAAGCTAAAAGTGCATAAGCAAATAACACCAAGCCAATTAATAGCTAAGATAAGTTTTAAGGTTATAGCTACTTAGATATGCAGATTGTCCCCAAACCCCACCAGTGACATGCCCAACATAAAATTTGTCAAACCTGTATAAATAAGAATATTTTAAACATACTGTGAAGTTCAGAATTTTGGATAGAATGCTGTTACGCTGATTTAAGTGGAGTTTGCATTACTATGACTTGGTATTTGAAGTTTTGAACGCCCATTAGATAGTGAAGTTGTGCATGCATCCTTTAGAGTGAGACATAGATAAGGGTCCAAGTCAATGCACCATATTACATAGGCTATCTGTTAAAATGGGTAAGGGTCAAAGTCAACGCACCATATTGCATAGGCTGTCTGAAAGTTGAAATGCTTCCTCCCACCTGTGTACCTTAATAAGCCCTTTAATGAGGTGAAAGAAGACAGTTAAATCTGGTACTCCACCCCTCCTTATCATTTCCCCATATAACTCAAAGGCCTTATCGACCTTGCATGAAAGCGAAAGGCTCTCAATCAAAGAAGAATAAATATTCCTGTCAGCAGACAAAAGTAATGAAGATGATGAAATTTCTCGATGCAGCTCAAGTGCAACCTCTAGTTTTCCAGCCTTGCAAAAGCTATCAATCAGAATTCTGTAAACTGGAGTAACCGGAACAGAGTCATTTTCACTTATCTCATCTAGAAGGCCAAGATTGACGATGAAGTCTCGGTTGAAGCCTTCAATGACCTTACGATAGCTTGCAATATGCCTAGGCCAATACGTTTGCTTCATCTCCTCCAGGAGTTGGTGAGCCTCATCCAAAAGACCAGCAGCACAGCAATGATTTATTAAAACCGTATAAGTGATATAATTTGGAGCACAACCACTGGTACCCATCTTTCTCAAGAGTTCAAGGCACTTCTCAACTTTCCCTGCTTTTCCAAAGCCATCTATCATAGCGGTATAAGTCACAACATTCGGACGGCACCCCTTTTCTTCCATCATCATCATAAGTTTATAGGCTTCATCAGTCTTCCCAGCTTTACAAAGTCCATCAATCATCTCTGTGTAGATAATAACATTGGGAGGGCAAGAATTTTCTAGCATTTTAGATAAGACTTTTAAAGCAAGATCAAGCCGTTTGTCCTTAAACAATCTGTCAATCAAAGAGCTGTAAGTATAAACATTTGGATTGTAGCCACGTTGTGACATCTTAGCAAAAACCTCTTCTGCTCGATCTAACTTCCCAGCCTTGCAAAATCCATCAATAAGAGCATCATATACAATGTGATTTGGCTCACATCCTTCAACTGACATTGCAGCTAATAAGTCATGAGCTTCTTGAACCTTGTGTGCTTTGCACAAACCATCAATCAAAGCTCCATATGTAACAATATTTGGTTCCTGAGAGTCACTATCAATCCTAAAGTACATATCTACATCAGAGATCTCCCCACTTCCCCTCATTCTCGCATAAATCTTGCATGCTTTTTCAATGTCTCCAGCTTTACAGTGACCATCTATCAATGCAGTGAATGTGACAACATTTGGAATGACACCTTCCAACAACATCCTCTCAAACAGCTCATTTGCATTGGACACCTTCCTTGCTTTAAGGTAAGCATGGATAAGAGCGGTATAAGTCACCACATTAGGGGAACAACCATCCCTTACCATTTCATCAAACCATTTGCGAGCCTGTTGAATAAGGCCAGCTTTACAAAAAGTATCAATTAATATTGTATATGTATAGACATCTGGAACAATACCTTTCCGTTTCATTTCTTCAAACAATAGAAAAGCATTTTCTACTTTTGAGGCATTACACAAAAAACCAATAACTTTGGAGTATGTATTACAGTCGGGTATAAATCCCTTACTCATCATCTCACCAATAACATTATATGCTTTCTCAAATTTACCAGCCTCACAAAGGCACCGTGCAAAATTGCTGACATTGACTTTATTTAGTACAATCCCAGCAGCAAGCATTTCACGGTAAGCATTTTCAGCCAATTCTAAAACACCTTCACTTGGTAACTCCATATTGCCACATATACCACCGATTAATATATTATAAACCACATAACCTGGTTGGCAACCACAATTTGCCATTTTATTGAGCAACTTATAGGCATAGGAATAGTCTCCAGCTCTGCAGTAAGCATGAACAAGAGAATTAAATATTTTAGGACTTGGATAACAACCTTCTGTCATCATCATTTTAAGTATTCTCTTACACCTACCAAGCTGTTTTTTATTCAAACAACCACAAAGCAATATCCTGAATGTTACAACATTAGGAATGCAAGAACTAGACCGCATCCTATTCAAGAAATCCATAGCTTCTTCAAAAAGCGAAGCTTCACATAACCCAGATATCATATGTGTATAAATTACAGTATCGGGAACAAACTCTTCCTTTTCAATCAAATCTAGTGCTTCTCTCCACTTACCTGCTCTGCAAAGAGAATACACAAAGCAACCCAACGTTTGACAATCCATGCGACTATCTGAATTTGACATCTCCCTATGAACCAAATATGCTGTATCCAATTTATCTGCTTTTAAAAACACCTGAATTAAAGCATTATAAGTAGCTTGTGAGGGCTTGTATCCGAAATCCTTAAGCCTCCCTAGCTCTTCCAATGCTAAATTCCACAACCCATTTTGGCAACATTTCCGAATCAACACATTAAGCAACTTCCTAAGCACCTCCTTATCATCATCCTTAATTTCTCGAAGAAAACAATCCGGCACTCTATCATTCTCATCACATCCTAATACATCTAATAATGCATTATATACAGACAGACTGTGACTATAACCAATCTGTCGACCAGCCCATATGAAAAACTTCACACCCATTTCAGCATTCTGTAGAAGTTTCAACACATCAACCACCAAAGACTCATTCAATTTCTGCCTAAACTGCCTAAGAAACTTGTGGGTTTTATCCCCAAACCCATCATCACTGTTCTTAATAGCATTCGAAATCAATAAAGCGTCATTACAGTACATACCAGACCCAAATTTGTCCTCTGAAGAGCTACATTCAGCACCAGAGTCCACCAACGAGTCGCGCAGAAAGGCAAATTCCGATTCGACCCGCGAACTATCTGGGAAAGATGAGGAGTTTCCCGGAAAATTGAGGTCGGGATCGATTAATCCATCGAGGTCGTCAGGGGAAGAAGTGTTGATGAGTCTATTGAAGCTATAGAAGAAATTTTGAGTGGAGACTTGGAATGGGCGAGAAAGGTGAGGTTGTGGTGGATGTGATTTGGGAAGAAAGAGTCGAAGAGAGTGTGCAATTGATCGGGAGAGAGCGACTCTGAGTCCCAGTTTGCTCATTCTCTGCTTGAGAAATTTGAAATGGGTGTGTAAGGGGTTTTGTGAAGTAGGAGATTACTTGTAGAGTGGCATCAGCACAAAGAAATGGGAAATTCTATTTTCACCACCCTAATAAACTCAGGACAAATCTTTTCTTAATACACATCCTTATTAATTTAATTATTAAATAATTATCTCAATTCATATTCTTAAAATTATAAATAAATTCTTCACTCATATGTACATACACTTTACCCTCAAAATACACACACTTTAATTTATCCCAATTTACAATTCTACTTCAAACAAGAGGGAAGAAGTTCAAACAGGATTAAAGCAAAAATATTTTCACCATCATCATCCTATTTCTTGAAGAAGACGATGCCCCAAAATTATAAATTGACTAAGTTCTTCAATCAGGAGGGAAGAAGACGATGCCCCAATTATATAAATTGACTAGGTTCTTCAGTGCAAAAATATCTTGGAAACATTCGCCACTACCCTCTTTAATTGACTTCAGCCCACCTTTCCTAGGTTCTTCAGTGCATGCCTGAATAGTTCTTCAGTAAGGAAAATTTCAATTCGGTCTACAGAGCCGAAGTAAGTAAAATAATTCAGATAATAAAAACCGAAAATAATAACAAAATTCGGAATTCTAGTGCCGAAAATATTAATTTTGTTTGGAACTCTAAGACCGAATAGTTCTAGTGATGAACTATTCATATTTTTTCTGTATTTGATAACCGAATTAATTTAACAAATTTGGCACTGCGTTTCCGACTAAAAAACGCAAAAAAAAAAATATATATTAGGAGTGCTGATCAAAATCAAATAAAAATTGTTGAATTAATAATTAAACGATGTTAATAATTGAGTATAAACTTAAAGATTAAAGCAATAGAGGAGATGTTTTGTTTGCAAATAACAAAGAGGAGTACAGAGCGTGTAAAAAGCAAAGTGACTAAAAAAAAAAATTATAGTTTAATTTTTTTGTTTCAAAAAGTGTATATTGAGATATTTTTATTTCTAAAAGATGTGTATAGAGAATTTGTATATATATTATTATGAGTGTTGATCAATGACTATTATAATAATTTTTAATTAAGATATAATTGTCATTAATTTAATTTTTCATTAAGTGTGTTCACTGAGTTTATTAGGGCGGTGGAAATAGAATTTCCCCAAAGAAATGGGAGTCGCTATTTACAAATTACAGCCAAAATGTCTAAAAACTCATAAACCCATGATTGTGAGAATTGTGAGAGGGTTTTGAAGAGAATTGTTAGACACCCCCACAATTGAGATTCTAAAATTTATTTATAAGGATGTGGTAAATTATTACATAATTAAGTGAATAATAAATATCACATTATTGTGGATTTACTTGAGGAGAATTTTATTAGGAGACTTAAAAAAAACAGCTTGTTTGGTTTCATTTTTCTGAAAACAGTTTTTAGAAAATTCTACTTTATTATTTTTTATATTTTTTTTGTTTTTATTGAATTTTTTTTAATATTTTAAGCAAATTTTTTTAATTTTTAGACACACTTAACATAAATACACATAAAAAGTATAATTTTTGTAAAAAAATCTTTTAAAAATTCAATAAATATCAAAAATACAAAAAAAAAAAACCAAAAATCTAGTATATTTTCGTATTTTTATGCATTTGTTAATTTTTGAAAATATTTTTTCACAAATTTTTTATTTTTTAGATACATCTAATTAAGGTACATCTAAAAAAGTAAAAAAAAAAATGCTTAAAATTTTAAAAATATTCACTGAAAACAAAAAAATACGAAAAATAAAAAATTCAGTCTTTAAAAAACTTAATCCAAAAAACTCAAATCAAACACACTGATTAGTTTAGTCTCACTATGTTCCCTAATCGAGGCCCTTCAATTTTATTTCCAATGAATTGACTAAGTTCATGTGAAGCAATCTCACACTCCTTTCTCTCATTTTTAGCTCTCTCTAATTTTACATCATTAAGAATGGAATCGAGGGGTAAAATTAGGAGGATGAATCATTTTTCTTATTTTATATGTTATGAAAGAATTTAAGAAAAATGATTTGTCTACACAATTTCTTCCTCAATGACACGTGGTAAGTAAAATTTGAAAAGTTGACACACACTCTAATATCTCCTAAAAACTCTCCTTACATGCATTTTATCTTACCACCTTATTCGGGGATTTTTAAAGGAGAAGAAATTGTGTGGACGTAGCACTGTAAGAAAAATTATCCCAAAAAAAAAAAAAATTACAATTTGACCATTTTAATAAATGAAATTGTGAATTTTTTATTTTTTCAATTTAAATCCCAATATTTAAATTTTATAACAACCTCATTCATCCGTCAATTTCCCATTAAGTTATTTAACAAAAACTTTAAACATGGCACTCACTTATTACTTTTTCCAATTTAATTTTAATTGTAAAATTAACCACACCACATCAAAACTATATATTTAATAAATCAGAACCATTCATCAACAAATCTATCGTAAAACAAACCACATTGGAACATAATCTCATTCTCTTATGTTTTTTTCATCCCCACACCATTCCATCTCCAAACCCAGAGTCATCTGTAGTCTAAAGTCATTACCATCAACATAGGCTGATCAAAAGATGTGCTCATAAGATTGAGCAAAACTCTGAAAAAAAAAGTGTAATAATCAATAAATGAAGCACAAAATCATTAATTTTCATTGAAACTCTCATATTTGAAGCAGGGTTCAACACCACCGTAATTCATACCATTTCATTCCCTCATATTCCTCGATCGCCACCCATTTTCCCCTTTCGCCCAATGCCCAATTCCGCTCATATGCCTACTCCCTTTTTCCTTCCTCTCAATGCTTTCTCCCCTTTTGGTTTCGCTATCGTGACTAAGGCCATCTATTTCCCCTCCTCTGATTAGATCTAGAAAGACAAAAAGATCAAGTTTAATCAAGTTTGGTTTGTTGTCCGTTCTCGTTGAATCTAGGTTTTCATCTGATTGAGTTGTGCAAATTTAATTTTGGGCTTTGGTTTGTGTAACGCCTCAAAATAATTAGAATAAATCATTCACAAATGACTATTTCAAGATTGACATAAACAAAATAATAGATTTTCATTAATCAGAGTTAACTTACAAAAAGGTGACACATGCAATATATATTAATAAATCATATCCTGAATTTATACCATGTGATACCAACTTAATTATTAACAAAATAAATGTCTTACAAGCTTACAACTTTCCAAGGCTATGCTTGGTTACAACAAAAGGGAGAGTGCTAAGCTCCATACATATAAAGCTCTTGGCTTGTAAAAATAGTAAATACAAAATAACAAATAGAGCCTTCAGCTCCCAGGTCCTCCCAAGCTATGTCACCAGCACCTGAAAATGGTTTCCCAAATAGGGTGAACCAAAATCCAGTGGAGATAGTCTAACACAATATATGAACTTTAACAAGATTATAAATATAATGCACATATTCAATGTTCAAAGATAAAATCATTCCAAGACCAAACTATGCCAAGCATTATATTCCAATGCATCTTATACCAATTCATTTCATGTCATTTCATATTTCCTCAATTCATGAATCACATCTTTTGTTATCTAGACAACCCAACTGAGACTACAATTCAGTGGTTTTCTTACCACACAAACACTTCAATTTTTCATTTTACAAAAATTTCGTCCACGTGATCGGCACCCATGTATATACAACATTTTCGGGACTTTCACCCTAGACACACAGGTCAACTTAATTCAATAGAGTTAATCTCCTTTCTCCTCCCAAACATCATACATATACGATGTATTAAAACACACAGTCATATTCAATGACAACCAATAAGAGATTAGTTTCAATTCGCCTAATCCTTATGCAATTTCTACAACAATTATAACTATCCTCCACCGATAGCCCAAAATAGATATTTCTACATAGATATACAATCTCTTCAACAAAATAAAATTATCCGAATTTCCATAGGTGGATAATAATGCAAATTTAACTCTACCATTAACGTAAACCCTCACCCAGTCTTATATTCCCAATACCAATTTTATTAGTGTATACAAAATAACAATTTGAATCATTTGAGGGCAAAACTCCCCTTTTCTTCAAAATCTATCTTGGATATCAATATCAACAAATTTACCACTGCCCAACTTCACATTTAGTCTCATAACCATTTTTAACACATACATTTGAAAATCCCTCTCTTGAATTTAAACCCCAAAGCCTAGATTTTTTAAAATCACCTCAACATCCAATGTTTCTCATGTCACCAGCTCCTAAAAATGGTTTTCCAAATAGGGTGAACCAAAATCCAGTGGAGACAATCTAACACAATATATGAACTTTAACAAGATTATAAATATAATGCACATGTTCAATGCTCAAAGATAAAATCATTCCAAGACCAAACTATGCCAAGTATTATATTCCAATGCATCTTATACCAATTCATTCATGTCATTTCATATTTCCTCAATTCATGAATCACATCCTTTGTTATCCAGACAACCCAACTGAGACTACAACTTAGTGGTTTTCTTACCACACAACCATTACACACAAACACTTCAATTTTCCATTTTACGAAAATTTCGTCCACGTGATCGGCACCTATGTATATACAACATTTTTGGGACTTTCACCCTAGACACACATTTCAACTTAATTCAATGGAGTCCATCCCCTTGCTCCTCCCAAACAATGGAGTACATCTCATTTCTCCTCCCAAACATCATACATATACGATGTATTAAAACACACAGTCATATTCAATGACAACCAATAAGAGCTTAGTTTCAATTCGCCTAATCCTTATGCAATTTCTACAACAATTATAACTATCCTCCACCGATAACCCAAAATAGATATTTCTACATAGATATACAATCTCTTCAACAAAATAAAATTATCCGAATTTCCATAGGTGGATAATAATGCAAATTTAACTCTACCATTAACGTAAACCCTCACCCAGTCTTATATTCCCAATACCAATTTTATTAGTGTATACAAAATAACAATTTGAATCATTTGAGGGCAAAACTCCCCTTTTCTTCAAAATCTATCTTGGATATCAAT